ACAGTTCGAGAATCCAATTTCTTTTCATGTGGGTTGTATACTCGTGCTTCTGCTGGACAACCCCAAACATGCAGGTGTCTCAAACTAGGTTTCCTTCCAGTCCATAACTCAAAAGGAGTTTTAGGAACTGACTTACTAGGAACCCTATTTAGCAGATACACAGCAGTCTTAAGTGCATACATCCACAAAGATTTGGGTAATAATGTATTACTTATCATACTCCTAACCATATCAATTAATGTTCTATTTCGCCTTTCTGCTACACCGTTTTGTTGAGGTGTGCCTGGCATAGTATACTGTGCACATATGCCATGTCTTTCGAGGAACTTAGCAAATGGACCGGGATTTTGTCCCGATTCATCATACCTTCCATAGTATTCACCACCTTTATCAGACCTTACTATTTTCACCTTTCTGTCTAACTGCCTTTCAACTTCATTAATAAAAACCTCAAGTGCATTTGCAGCTTGAGATTTTTCCTTGAGCAGATAGACATAACCATAACGTGAAAAATCGTCTATAAAGGTAATGAAGTACTTTTCTCCATTGAAGGATGGAGCATCAAAAGGTCCACATATATCAGTGTGTATAATTTCAAGAAGCTGACTGCTTCTTGTGGCTCCTTTCTTGTTATGTTTGGTTTGCTTTCCCTTAATGCAATCCACACACAACCCAAGATCGGTAAAATCTAGATCCAAAAGAATCTCATCTTTCACCAACCTTTGCATTCTTTCTTTGGATATATGACCCAAACGTTTATGCCACAAGAAAGCAGAGTTCTCATTTGCTACACCACGTTTAATTCCAATGTTTTGATGAACACACATTAAAGATGCAGAAAAATCAACATCAAGTTTCAGTTTATATAAACCATCCATAAGAATTCCAGAACCAATAATGGAATCATGTTTATCAAACAAACTAAAACATCCATGTCCAAACTTAAAGGAAAACCCAAGAACATCAAGTCTAGAAAGAGACATTAAGTTTCTAGAAGATGAAGGTACATAGAGAGTTTGTAAAAGATCCAGGTGGTGCCCGGAATCTAAAACAATACGATAAGTCCCTATGCCTTCAATTGGGGCCTTCATACGGTTCCCCATGAACAAGAAGTTCTCATTTGGGTTTATACTCTGGATTGTAAGAAATCCCTGCATCACATTAGAAACATGAGTTGTAGCACCAGAATCCAACCACCATGTATTTGAAGGAACTTCAGACAAGTTTGATTCGAAACATACAAAGATATTAGAAATACCTTTCTTTTCAAACCAAGACTTGCGTTTCAGGCAATCTTTCTGTACGTGTCCTTCTTTCTTACAGAAATAACATTTATTTGCCCGATTTTCCTTCTTTTCATCATTAGTGACCTGTGAAACTTTAGCAGGTCCTTTCTTCTTAAACTTGTTGGATTTCGGTTTGAGAACATTATTTGCTCCATGACCCACAAGGTTGACCGTATGAACTCCTTGTGCCTTAAGCCTCGTCTCCTCCTGAACAAGCTTACTGGCCAATTCATTAACATCCCACTTATCCTTAATAGTGTTATAGTTAATTTGAAATGGCCCATATTCAGGAGGCAACGAGTTAAGCATAAATTGCACCAGAAATGAGTCATCAACAGTCATGCCCAGGGACTTAAGCCTTGCTGCAAGATTAGTCATGTCAAGAACATGTTGCTGCATACTACGCGACCCATCATACTTTTTGGTCGTGAGTTCAGCCATAAGTGTTCCTGCCAATGACTTATCCGCGGAACGAAAACGCTCTTCCACAAGCAAAAGGTATGCTTTTGCATCCACATTATCGGGAAGAGTTGACTTAATGTTGTTGGCAATCGTCATTCGCATAAAGCTCAAACATAATCTGTTAGACCTGTCCCAAGCCTTACGGTTTGGTTTCTCAGCCTCACTGCTTTGATCAGTAATGTCAGCAGGCTTTTCTTCAAGCAGAGCCAAGTCAATATCCAAAACACCTAAATGGAAATTGACTTGCTCACGCCATTCAGAGAAATTCAAACCATTGAAGACAGTAACATAAGAAGCTTGCGAATGAAGAGAGATAGCTGCACAATCATAAACGCTCACTTAATTAATTGATTCAGAAAATACATTCATCACATATATTGCAGGTCTCCTTTGGGTAAACACACAATATATATCATTATCATAAGTCGAATGTCATTTAACACTTTATGAGAAATTAAATAAACTTCGTCTAACATACATAGTATCTTTGGATATCTACATACGCTCGACAAAAGGATATTATATTTCTCCTTAAATGTTTATTAGTTATAGAATATTGATTCACCTTTGGGTAAATCCATAATTTCTAACAACCAATAAACTCATTATCTTGAATAATGACACTCTCAAGAGAACATAAGTTATATGACCAAACACGAGAAAATTAATCCGGCCACTTTGGTGACTAACAAATTAATTTTTTTATTTTAATGTCATATCAATCAATGGTAACAATATTATTATATGACCGGACATCAAAATTAATTAGGCCACTTTAGTGACTAACTAATTAATTTTGTCTTAATGTCATATGATATATGATTCAGTTGAATCTACAAACATCAATTCGTAAAAGCTTGATCATCCATGAACAGAACAATATATATGAACTGAAGCATTCGTATAATGTTCATAATTTCAATTTGAGCATTGATATGTGGGCCATGACTCCCACTAAAACATGTATCATCAATATCAATTTCATAAGAAATCTCGTACATACCCAAACATCATAATTTGCCCCCATAAAAATAATTCAAATAGAATTAGCCATCAGGGTATATATGACTTGTAAATTGATCATGCAATTTATCAACTAACTAGATCGGCGAATTCGAACAGAACAAACAACAAATTCATGGCCATTAAGAAATCGAATAAGCCGACATACATGACTAATCGCAACCCATCAAAATTTATGCGATTAATTTGTCGGGTTCATCATTAATTACATACGAATTATGCTTGTAAAATTTATACAAACAAATTATTTATCCACAACACATGCTCTGATACCACATGTAAACTTCATCATAGGATCTTGAATAAATAATTTGGTGTATACGAATTACTTACTTGATGCGGAAGACGACATGATTTGTGATCTTAATCTTGATGATCACAAGAGGTTGAATTGATCGTTAGATCTAAACTAGTTTCTCCCTCTTGACCGATTCCTTAACGTAGCAGAAAAGTGATGGGATAATAACTGCGTACCCTAATAGGAGAGAGGACTAATTTATATAGGGGTGCTTTACATCTGGTACGTCCATCAAATATCCAGATTAATGGCTTAGATTTGTTTGACTATTAATTAAAGGCCTAGCCCAATAGGATAATTAAATGTGAGCCCAATGCTTTCGGGCCACATATATTCTTACAACACCCACATTCCTACACATTCATTTAAATACATATGTAGGACCCGTTATCCACTTATTTAATATAATATAAAACAAAAAAAAAATAAAAAAAATAAAATAAAAGAAGCATGAACGCGTTCAATGGGCTGAACGCAATAGCGGGCCCTACAACTTTAATGAACACTCACAATCCTGTGAACGCCAAGTGGTGTTTAAACGCCAAAAAATAACATAGCGATGCGGGTGCTCTTAGGGACTCACGTGGATAGTGCCTCACGGGGATTTTATCAGCAACGAGTATGTGCTATAATGGCTGAAACTCAGTTTAATTGGGTACTAATGCGTAGGAATCAAACCTTGAGAAAAATTTTAGGCTTCTTGACTTCTTGTAAATTGAGAGGGAGAAAAGCCTGTTAATTTTATTCAGACAAGTAGCATCGAGCCGCGTGTAATATCATGTCTATTAAGCTGAGCTGAAATTAATTGGGCCAATTAAAATGGCCCAGTAAACATTTATTTGTAAGAGAGTACAGAGCATAAGAATGAGTCTTGATTGGGTCTTATGTTGTGTACTTGTCTTTGCTAATGCAGGCAATGCATGAATGATAGAGCCCAAATCCAATCTGGATCAACTTATTGTGTGGCACCAAAAATATGATGGAAAGTGAGATATCGCTTTTCAGATGTAGAAGAGACTGCATAAGATATAAATGTAATGATTACAACATAAGAGTAACAAAATATGAGTGAATTAAATATATTTTTATTAGAAAAATATGAAATAAATGATCAACGTTTATATTTGAATAACTTTTTTGTGGAATTAGTAGAAGAAAAACAAAGAGTAGGAATTCCTTAGTTCTTCATAATATTATTGATGAAAAACAAGCTAGCTACATGCTATATAATCTCCATAAACAATTGTTTTCTACATATTATTTCATCCCATGCCCAAACATAATCAATATCATATTACAGACAACAAACATCCACACACACCACCACCACCACCACCAAAACACATAATCAGACAAAGGCAAAATCAAAAGAAAACAAAGAACAATACCAACCACAAAACACTTAACATATAGGCAGAGGCTCCCCATTCCACCCCTCCACACACTTCATCAACGGATCCACAATCGAACCATCGTTCAGCGCCTCGAACACCTTCTCGCACTCCTCTCCCGGCGACACAACCTTCTCTCCCGTCAAAAACCTCGTCTCAAGCCTTCCCCTAACAAACTCGTACAACGGATACGATCGGCACTCGACTATCTTATTCCCGATTGCCGCCTTTCCCTCCTCAACCGCTATTCTCGCCCCTTCCACCTCCTTTGGCAACAAAACCTTCAACTCATCCTCAAACGCCTCGATTTTCCTAAAAATCGACGTCCCCACACTCGACTCCCCCACCCCATTCTCCAACGCGTGCTCCACCATCACCTGCCTCAGCTTCTGCATCAACGGGTAGGTCACGCTGCACGGATCGTCCGCGTACGCGAAAACGTGCTCGCGATCCACCACGCGTAGCAAGTCCTTCTCGCAAAACCTCGACGGGTGGAGCTCCCCGTTCTCGCCAGTCGTCAGCGTCCGCTTCGCTGCCTGTCCGACCGCGTTCTTCACTGCCGCCCGAACATTCTCCTCCACGTGCCTCAAGTCGACCGCTTGGCACAAAGCGACAAGGTATGTCGACATCATCAACTTCAAAATGTCTAGCGCTTCGGTCGTCTTTCTTGAGGATATCAAACCGAGCGAGTTCACGTCTTGGTTGTGCTGCTCGGCGCTCTGCACGTGGTTCGTGACTGGGTTCGCCAGGAACTGGAGCTCCGAGCAATACGAGGCCATGGCTATCTCGGCGCCCTTGAAACCATAGTCGAGGCTCGGGTCGCGCCCGCCGGAGAGATTCGACGGGAGGCCGTTGTTGTAGAAGTCGTTGACGAGCTCGGAGAATTGCGCGAAGACGAGCTTCCCGATGGCGGCGAGGGCGAGGCGCACGTTGTCCATGGAGACGCCGATGGGCGTCCCCTGGAAGTTCCCGCCGTGGAGGGCCTTGTTGCGCGAGACGTCGATGAGAGGGTTGTCGTTGACCGAGTTGATCTCGCGCTCGATCATTTTAGTCGCGGTGCGGATGGTCTCGATTTGCGGGCCGAGCCATTGGGGCGAGGTGCGGAGGGCGTATCGGTCTTGCTTCGGTTTCTGGAGGGGGTCGGTGTCGTGGAGCTTCTTCGCGGATTTGACGTACGAGCTTCCGTCGAGGATGTGTTCCATGATGGCGGCGGCCTCGATTTGGCCCGGGTGGTGCTTGAGCTTGTGGGTGAGGTGGTCGGTGAACTCGGGTTTGCCGTTCATGACCTCGGCGAAGATGGCTGAGGTGACGGTGGAGAGGAGGGCGAGGATGTTGGCGTCATAGAGGGAGATGGCGGCGAGGGCAGAGCCGACTGCAGTGCCGTTGACGAGGGCGAGGCCTTCTTTGGGGAGGAGGGTGAAGAAGTCGGTGGAGATTCCGGCGAGGGAGAAGGCTTGGGAAGGGGTGAGGGAGGAGCCGTCGGGGCCGGCGGCGCGGGAGTTGGGGCGGCCGGTGAGGAGGCCGGCAATGTAGGATAAGGGGACGAGGTCGCCGGAGGCGGTGATGGTGCCGCGGAGGGGGAGGAAAGGGGTGACGTTGGCGTTGAGGAGCTTCGAGAGGGCTTCGAGGATGGAGAAGCGGATGCCAGAGTAGCCTTGGAGGAGGGTGTTGATGCGGACGAGGATGGCCGCGCGGGTGGCCGAGTGGGGGAGGATGTGGCCAGAGTCGGATCCGGAGCCGAAGATTCCGGCGTTGAGAAATCTGTTTGAGTCAAGGTGAACAATATTAGTAATTACACAAATTGTTAGGCGTGTCATAACATGTTCTAATAGATGTTCTAATAAAAATATGTATATTTGTGGAAATATATGTTAGTTTAATGGTTACAACGGTCTAAAACAAGAAATGCAGTAATTGTTATTGTTCCATGGACGAAAAAGAAGATTATCAATTGGCCAACTGAATACTAAGTTGGTATTTTTGTTATTATTATTTTGAGCACAACTACGTGATATATGAAGCGGGTAGGTGGTGTAGAAGTCACGAGCATGTAGTAGAAAGACACAAACAAGTTGCACTTTTTTTTTATTAACTTAGTTCAGTTTGACCAACAATAAAGTTAGATCTATTCTATATATCAAAATTAAATTATATATCCATTGGTTCATGATGCATTTTATGTTTTAATTGTTGTATAAACGACACATACTTTTGTTTGCAGTATCATTAATCCAAATGAATTGAAAGTGTTATGTAAGTTGGAAAAAAATAAAAAACTGTATCTCACAAATACCGATTGTTAGAAAAATTATATGGTTTTTTTAGGTAAAAAATTAATATGTTTTTTTTCCCTTTTCCTTACGCATTCCTTTCCGTTAACGGTGTGTATCTAACTGTTTTAAAATTACAAAGCTACCGGTCAAAGTGGGTTGGATGAAAACATTTATATATGATGGATAGGAGCATTTAAATATACGTAAGTAGTGAATAGCAAATTAATTGCACGTCCCAAGATCTGAATTTTTTTGGCACATACATATATATATATTAAGTAACAACTAAAGTTGGCAAAAATTTAAGTCACAATATAGTAGGTACACACTTAGGCACGTTCTAATTCAATAATAAAGTCCACACAATAAATAACTAGATTAACTAAAACAACATAACATCTTGCTAAAAATAAAATAAACCAAATCATTATGTAACCAGAAGTTTTGTCACCATATCTTATGAAGTCATTCATGAAATTGACTGCAAATAATTGTCAAAATTGTTATCTGAATCTATTAACATACAATTAGATTTATATAATTGGAGGAAGAGGGTGCGGTCCCACCAGGTGAAGCGCACAATAAGAGGGTGAGCCTAGTTGCACCATAATGAGGTTCTATTCCAACAACCATTGATGATGGGAAGAGTAACTCATTATGCTTATATACTATACTCATTTTCCCTATAAAATTAATGTGGGACAACTCACAAGTGATATTATACATACATTGGTATTTAGTTTTCTTTGTTATTCAAATCTTCAAAAGTTCAAATTTTTGTGATTGAGAAATTTCAAATTTCTCTAACCTAAAAGTAGATAAATCATATAGTTAAGCCGCATATATATATTCTCCAACAAGTAATTCTCAAATACTAAAATATAAGT